CTCTGAGGCCCGGACCTGTCTCAGTCCGGTGATCGAAGGTGGCGCTTTCTGGCTCTTCTGCTGTTTCTTCCAGTTTTTCTTAAGAGAAAAGGAAGAAACCTTCTCTTCCAGTTATTTATAGTAGACTCCGGCATTACCGTATTTCCTGAAATTGAGTGTTTCAATTTCCTGAAATTGACTGAACTTGATTGGTGTATTTGGTGTGTACATCAATCCCCAAGTTATGCGAGGAGCATAAAATGTGTGAAAAACGCAAACCACTTGTTTTTAAAGTTTTAAAAGTGAAAGAGTAATAAAATGGTTATAAAAATAATAATACAATTAGAGTAATAATAATTTGGACAATTTGGATTAGGACAATATGAGACAATAAAAACAAAGAGTTACCGACAGTCCAGGTACCTCTTTCTGGGCAAAATAAGCCCAAAGAAGGACTCAAGTTAACAGACGATTAACCCTTAAAAGCCCACTCAGGGCCACATGCTCCTGGACATGAACACCAGCCCTTTTCCAAACATATCTCACCCCCACAATGTTTTGATGTAATTTTGGAGAAGGCCTTTGGCACTCCAAGGGCAGGCTGAGTTCTTGGTTGTGGCAGCTTTGGTCTGGGAGAAATCCTGCCCCATGGAACTTTAGGAGGCAGACACATAGATAAAAAAAGAATTCAAAGTCATCTTTAATTGCTTTACTATTTTAAATCCTGACTTAATTTTGACAAGATTTTAATCTTGCTGAAATTCCCTCAAGAAGATTTGTATGTGTGTAGTGCAGTTTACAGGAAAGCTGCCAGAGCCATTTGTTTTGTGTGTTAGAAAGAATATGGTAGTATACAGGGTAGGAGAGGAAAGCTCAAAACCCTGGCAGCATGCCATTGTTGATATTCTTTGATGTATGTTAAACCCAAAAACTGTTTTGTCCTTGTCACTGTTTGTGGCCAGATTAAAATTACAGGGCTGGGCTCAGAGAGAGAGAAAAAAATAGAAGAGTGCACACAGCTGAAAGTAAAAAGCATAGCAACAATGGGCGTTGTGCAGTTTAAGACTGTAGGGGAAAAAGTGATGCCCAGCACTCTTTTTTGTTGTAGGACTTCTTTAATGGTGGCAGCAGTTACTGAACTGAGAAGGAATTTGCATAAACTCTTCACTGTCCATTTGAAATGCTTATTTCACACAATATTCAAGGGGCAACATGAATTCCTCTCCAGTTGTATGTAATATCAACTTATTTCACTTTTGAAGACACTAGCTACAAAATTTAAAATATCACACAAAAGCCTTGTACACAAAATGGGCAAGAGGAGAAAGCTGTTGCTGGCTTCACCTTTCCCTCCCTCCCCTTGAACTGCACCACACACAGTGGTGTTATGTGCTTTTCTTCTCAGCAGCATATTCCATCTTGTAGAAATGATATTTAAAATTTAAACCACCCAGCAAGTGCTCCCAAAAACAAGATCCTGGAACAAACTGACATTTGTAGGCATCTCCTTCCTTTCCCAGTCCCTAAAGCACTCACATAACACGGCATTATTCACTTTCAGGTTTATATACACCCACATTCCTTCTCTCTCACCAGTGCAGGATCTGAAAAGAAACCACCCACCCCCTTTACTGATCCCACACTAAGGGTGCCAGGACTTGTTGGCTTTTCCCTTCCCGCTGCCACTGTCCTGGGGTGGCTGATCACAGAGTGAGCTGAGCTGCAGCCCACGAGGGGGCGCTTCTCACCTCTTGAGACCTGCAGGAGGGTTTATTGATTAATATTGTTCAGGTTTTGTGCTGGTGAATGCTTTGCCTGTTAAATAAACAAATTTTTTCCACTTTTCTCCAAGGAAATCTTTTCCCAAATCAGCTGGGAGAGGAGCCACTTGGATTTGCTTTCTAGAGGGACCCCAATTCAGAAGTTTCTTCCAAAATGTGCCCAAATCAGGACAGCTGCCTTTCAATAGTTCCGCTAGATGGCAGGCTGCACTTACCAAAGAAGTTAATGTATCATGGTATTTTTAAACCACAAAATATGCAGATCCAACGTGGAAAAAGTCTCGTCACTGCTCTCAATGTTCGAGGACGGAAAGATTTCACTGACATTACTTTTATTTTCAAACATGTATTCGAACATGAAGTGGCACACACCTTTACTTCTGTCCTTCTCTCTCTTGTGTGAGAGCAATCCTTGAATAAATATATAGTTGTAAGCCAAAACCTAATTTTCAGCAGGCCTTTGAAAAATTCAGGAAGTTTTTTTCCGTGGGAAGGAAAGCATGCAATGCCAGTGTTTCAGGTGGAGGTTACAGGCTGCCCAGGGAGCTGATATCAGGAGATTTCTGTCCTACCACCTTTCATGTGGGGTCTATTTCTTTGTGAGATCTTTATTGCTAGCAGTATCTAAATGCTGGTGGTGAGATCTTGCCAGGGAG